TGGCAATAGCCATTAGAGCAAACCCCGCCATTAAAGGAGTACATGGAGGTGGAAGTGAGCATAAATTAATGTTATATGCTGATGACATTCTATTTCTGACTTGTGACCCGCAAAACTCCCTACCTGCCCTAATGCAAACTATCAGTGACTATTCCCAGATCTCAGGTTACAAAATCAATTGGACCAAGTCTGAAGCAATGCCAATATCCAAACATTGTCACCCACAAATAATTGCACAGTACAATTTTAGGTGGATTCCAAAAGGTATGGTATACCTGGGCATTAAGTTGTGCCCAGACCTTGGTGAGATTGTTGCGTTGAACTATGATAAGCTACTTCAAAAAATCAAGACAAACATAGGTAAATGGGGAAAGCTAAACCTTACCCTATGTGGTAAAATAAATGTTGTTAAAATGGTGATCGCCCCCCAGTTCAACTACATATCCATGATGCTCCCTCTTAGTATACCTGAAAATATATTTAAACAATATGACAATCTCATCAAGGAATTCCTTTGGGCGGGGAGAAAGCCCAGGTTTAAACTGGATAAGCTCTATGCACCCAAGGATAAAGGCGGGCTGAGTTTACCTAATGTTAGATTGTACAACGTGTCTTTTGAAATGTCCAAGATAGCTAAACACTGGAGTGGAGATGCGTCCGAATTAAATTGGGTCAACATAGAACAGACTCTTGCCACACCATTTCACCACAAACAGTTGTTATCCCAACAGGTAACTGGCATAGTGGAGGACAAAAATCCAGTCGTCCAACACTCTAAGGAAGTGTGGGCAAAGATCCACAAGCTACACAAACTCTCACATTACAAACAGCAGTATTCCTCATTGTGGCTCAATCCCGAAATTAAAATAGGTAAACGCACTGTGTTTTGGAGAAAGTGGGTAGAAAATGGAATCCACACTATTGGTGACCTTTTCAGTGAAGGTATTATTAAATCATTTGCTCAACTTGTACAGGAGTATAATCTGCAAGAAAAGGGTGACTTCTGGAAGTACTTGCAGATTAGACACTGTATATTGAAAATAAATCTAACAACAAAAGAAGACAATGTAATTTTGCAGCTTCTGCAATTGCCACTTAAGCATGGGGCTTCTGTGTTTTACAATAAAACAGTTTGTTTGACCAGTAGCTCATGTGAAAACTTAAGATTGATCTGGCAAAGAGACCTTGAATGCAATATAGACAAAGACACATGGGAACAAATATTGGCCGATAATGGTAAATATATCAAAGAAGTACGGTGTAAATTTATTCAGTATAAAATTCTACATAGGTTCTACTGGACTCCATGCAGACTTTTTACAATAGGACTAATAAATAGTAATATATGCTGGAAGTGTAAAAAAGAAACAGGAACTTTTCTACACCTTATATGGGAATGTACCTTGGTTAAACCATTCTGGGACAAGATAATTAAATTCTTAGGGACATGGATGGACATAACTCTCCCACTGTGTCCGCGTCTATGTCTTCTTGGAGACAAAACAGAAATACCACAGCTCACAAAAGAGGTACACTCAGTGTTGATGGTTGGGCTAACCTCAGCTGCAAGAGTTATATTGAGACACTGGAAGGCACCCGAACACCCCACATTCCAGGAATGGAAAGTGGTAATGGCTGAAACGGTTTCATATGAGGTTATGCTAACTAGACTGAGAGGCAAAGGACAGGTGGTGTTAAATAATTGGCATTTCTTTCAAGTCTACCTGACCTCTCAGTAGCGACCCTTTTTTATTTGATCTTTTTCACCTACTTATTCTTTAATTATTATTATTATTATTTGTTTTTTGTTTTTCCTTCATCATCCAGGAACAACGTCTATTTTTGCTTTTATCCTTATAGTTATGTTAATTGTCTGACCATGTGTTTTAAGCTGTTACTTTTTGTACACTATACCATGCAAGCTTTGTATCGTAGTTATTTGATTGTTTAAAGGAAAATAAAAAAACTTGAATAACAAAAAAATAAATAAATTGAGGAATAGTGATTGATTTTGGGGGGGATTTGGCCAATTAAAGTCAAAGACGCTGGGAGAGCTCTGAGGTATTATTGACTTAGAAAATAAACCCTATGTGTTATATTCTGAACCAAAAGCTGAAAGTCATATAATGTGGAAATGTGAATTACAAACCTCCCTTCAACATGTCCTCCTTTAAATAAACAGACTAAAACTCTGTTGTAATGTTCATGACACAAGTTGTGGTGAATGCCACAGCATATTTATAACAGTCAAAGGACACGAGTAGCATAGTGACAGATTCCATGTCGGCTGATCACTCCCTGCGAGCTGTGAAATGTTCACTGAGTTTTAGTCGGCAGCTTGACAAGCAGGCAGCATACGCAGGGCACTTGTTTCTCTTTCTCTATTACACAAGTATATAACGCAAGTATAGACCAGCTTCCCACTCTTAAAGCGGTTAAATGAGGGAAATAAAGACAGTAGGAAAATGTTTTCTTTCTTTCTTTCTCCCTTTTTTTTTTCTTCTAATGCCCATGATTTACAAAACAGGGAACATAGTAATAATTTGTTTGTGTGTGCACCTTGGTGGATGAGTCAACAGGCGCTCCTCTTTGCAGCAATTCATCCACTAGATCCCTGTGTCCTTCCTTAGCTGCCAGGTGTAGAGCATTGAGTCCATTCTGAAGGAAAAGAAACGTGATAGATGAATTACAGCAGTAATTCAAGATTCCGTTGGATCCCCTGTACAAACATAAAGTGTCAGGCTGCTGACTTTGCGAAACTTCGATTTGAACTTCACTGGAGGTATTTTCTATGGGAGAAAAACCCAAAACAGTACAATCCAGTGAATTAAACATAACACTACAATGACATTACATAGGATAAACCTTGGTCTAAATTTCGAGTAAGATTATGATGACACATTCTACACATGTCCACTTTTTGAAACCGTATAGGAGCCCTTTTTTCTATGTCCCAACATTAACATTTACATTAAAAACAGCAGTTTCATTTTACACTGTATGTCACAGAACTGTTCTCTTAGAGGATCATCTAAACAGAGCTACATGTAAGCAGCCACACAGTAGGATCAACACACTCACAGCACATTTGATCAATTCATCCAGCACAAAAGCACATATATATACTCAAAGAGCCAGATATGTGTACACAGAAAGGAAATATTCACCTTATTTTCTTGTTCCATATTGCATTGTGTCCTTTAAGAACTTTAAAAACAGTGACAGAGTGCTTATCCTTAAGCTTTCCTGCTCCTTAAAAAGCAAATATCCATATTCAGTGCTCTCCCCTGGGTGTATATTTTTTCCTTCTTAATTGGTGATCTGCCTTGTACCTATGCTATTTCCTTCCCTGAATTCTCTTTTAGGTGGCCTGGTTTACAAAGAAGAGCTGTTCCGCTTCTAGCTAACTCTTCTGATTCCTTCCTTGCTGCATGTGCAACGTGCACATAGACACAATAAAAAAAAATAGACACACACCCCCCTCTCTCTTGCTCTTTGAGTTTCCAAATGCCAAACAGGCAACGGGGTCTAATGTTTCTGCTCAGTCATAGACACTATCTGTGTCAGAAACATATAGATAGATAGGCCATTTTAGAAGCCGCTGAAAATGTCAGGCTTTCAAAAGGAGGAGGAAGCAGGCATTCCAAAAGGCCACAGTCTCCAAGTGGGACTAGTTTAGGGTTATATGATATGACTTGAAAAGGAAAAATAATTTTGCTAAGATACTGAAAATACACCTAAAATAAAACACTTACAAACGCAGTGATGTCTGTGGTAAATATTTCCATTACAAACTTTCATTTAGGTAAAAAGCTAACTGAGTAAAGGGCCCCTATATTGACAGCAGCAATGTGACAAATACAAGAAAAGTCAACTAATGGTGACATTTTAGATCTCGTTTACACCCATACGCATTAAGGCTGTAACCTATATATAGTTTAGACTACTTGATTTTGCTTGACAGTCATTTTTCACATGTACATTTTTATGCACGTCATCTTTGTCAGGTTGAATTGCAGAAAAGCTTTGAGTATCATCACCTCAGTAAATCAGAAATGAAACAACCTCCCAAAATAAATTAATGAATTAATAAAAAAGGACCAGATGTTCTTCGCCGGCGTTTGAACGGGCTGGGAGAGTTCGTGTCAGCGTCAGATGTAAAATGGCTGACCCTGACACAGCAAAAAAAGAGATGCAATCTCTTTAGAGTGTTTCAATCACATTTAAACCATTATGCATTCCAGGAGAGACAAGCAAAACCACTAACACAACCACACATGCACACACTCTGTCACACGAACTGATCTAAAGCTCCTTTTCCTCTGAGCTGAACAGTGAGTGAAAGCTTCATTTAGCTAATGGATGCTCGGCCTCGGTAGTTTGAAGCTCCTCCTGCCCGACACAAACTCTTGACCTCCGTCCTGCACAGATTAAGCTCCTTGCTCTCTTGACCGTCGACATAATTGGACCTGTTTAGTCGGCATTGCTCTAGGGGCTCAAGTGCCATATGAGGATAAGTTTGGGGGTCGAAAATGTGGAAAGTAATGTAAATGAAGGCAGATTAGAGAGTAATAACACTCACCAAGGATTAACACAGTGGTAGATTAGAGGGAAAAGTCTGGTCTTCAATTGTGTAGCAGAGCAGCTCACATACACAAAAAGGAGATTCTGCTTACATGAAATCTCTCACACATTATTATATCATATCAAAACCAAGATGGAATATCCCCCGTTTTTCACAAAGGAAAACCTCCATCCTGCCTAGAAGCAGGATGGAGGTTTTCTGCCTGGGCAACTATCTGTATTTGTTTGCCTCATTCATAAAATCCCCTCAGCAGAGAGGCTACTCTGCCACTTTGACTTTGGCAAGCTCAGAATATATCTCTTCCCTTCTCTTTAACTGCCACTGGCACCAGACTCTGTCAGTTAATATTTGCTAGCTGCTTTCTAGGATAGGGGTCTTCGGTTATTAATGAAAACAAGGCAGAGGTTCGGGCATTTCACAGCGACTGGCAGATACACAGAGCGAGAGGGTGTCACAATATGTGTCGAAAGGCACTGGGAGATAATGCAATTTAGATTTGCACGATTTCATACCTTCTGATGTTCTTACCCTTATATCAGTGAGTCTGCCAGCCACACTGCTCATGGGGCAATTACTGATAATGGCTTTATGATTGCTTTATGAGTGATTTTCTTCTATTACTGCCATTGCCAAATCAACTTCCATGGTTTTGAAGTTGGCGTTTCATTCAGATGTCATTACGAATCAGCATCAGTATGAGGACGATGCTGATAGACCACTTGGCTGTTGTCAACGCTAAAGATGATTGGGGTTAAACTGTTCCTGAATTTATTCCATGCTAACATGGGCATAAAAAAAGTTTTTCCTCTTTAAAAGAGCGGTTGATGATGTAAGATGTTTAAATGGAAGTTGTTAAGATTCTTGATCCAACTAGCGAATGGAGAAATAGTCAAATGGGCTAGAATTGTATATGTGCGCACCTGCATGTCAACCTTAAGCACATTAGAACATTAGGTTAGCGGGAGAATTTGTAGTTGTGAGTATCAGTTTGAAAATGATGCATTCAAAAGATCTTTGCCCAATTTGTATATTTCTAATTTATATCTGCAGTTAGATGGTTGTTCATCAGCTCTACCAGTACAGGTTGAAATGAACAGGTGGGTGGTTACATACTTATAGTCCATAGACATACCATCTATGCTTTAGTTTACTGGCACTAATACGTATACATATACAGAGGCTCCCACTAAAGGAGGTCATCACTGGTATACATATGAAAATGTCAGCCAAACTTTTGATCACCTGACAAGGTCTCAAATTTTGATCATCTGACACTATGAAATACTATCAAGGGCAGGGCTCTCTAGTTACAGGACATGGAATGTGTGTGTGTGTGTGTGTGTATGCGCGCGAATCAACGCAGTCATGTATAGTCAGCCTTGAGCAAAACAAAACCCACGGTGTCCTTGCCAACAAACAGCAGAGCTGTGGGCGGTCACCTGCTGCTTCCTCGAGACCGGTTAGTTTATTTATAAATAGTTTCTGCTCATTTGCAACAGAATCACAAAAGGCCGACGGCCACGAGACAGTGGAGCTTAGTAGATCCACGCCCATAAACAACTCCCCTCAACATCCTCCTTTTGAGCCGCCTTGTGACCACTGTAAATCACGATGTGACAGAGGGGATGACAGAGCTTCATGGGAAGGATTTTGCCCTCTCCGATCCCCCTCCTCACAGGAATGCACTCTAAGAGTGTGTGTGTGTGTGTGTATGTAGGGGGGGGATTGGTAGCAGCTGTCAGTTGAACACAGACAACCCCTTAAAATGCTGCTGGATCCAGATAGGGGGGGGGGTGGTTATAGATATGGTGGTGGTTATAATAGTGTTGAAATGTTTTAGGTATGTGCTGAGTGAGCCAAATTCTGTGATGCCACCATGACACAGCAGAGACAAAACTAGCTTAAACTGGTCTGAAAAGATGGCCGCTGGTTCGAATTACATGGGCCGTGTTTTGAAATGAATATGTATATCTTGGTGTCCAATTCAGACGCCTCTTGAGCTTGTCATTTATATTTGGAGCTAAATCACATACACACAAACTGCACTCTGTATTGAATCATCAATATACAACAATTGATTTGTCCACAAACAAGATTGATTTAGCCTTTTCTTATTTTCTTGGATGCCATTTTTGCTCCATTGAACTTATAGGAACATAGTCAGTTCTTCATTGGTCTAAATTTAGATCTTATCAGATCCAAAACAATGTGCTTACATGGCCCTTGTTTGTTCACCAACAACAAGAAAGACTGACATAATTTGGGCTCATTGAGGATTTATCAGTCTATTTCAAAAGATTATTTGTCAGAACCTGAAAGGATAAAAGTAAAGCATAATCTTAAAGAAAGAAATGAGCTAGAGGTGATAAAACAGAAAAAATTGAAAAAACAGTAGAGCTCATGGCAGCATTAAATTATGTATGACTTTTTTTTTATCATAAAGTTTATAACAGGTAAAAGAGGGTAAAGAAAGCCCAATGCATTGCAAGAGGTCATGTGGTCTGAAATCTGAATATATATTCTATAGTAATCAGAGAGCGTGAACTATCATTTTTGCATGTGTATTGACGAAATGGAGCATCTGTCGAGGTCTGTGAGGGATTGTCTTACCTGGTTACAGGTTCCGATGTCTACTCCATTTTTGAGGAATTCAAGGACTTTGTCTGTGTTTCCAGCCCGAGCGGCCCGGAGGAAACTGGTGTTACTGTCAGACTGAGGAAGAAAGGACAGATATCAGGCTGATGTTGAAACTGAAACCGCTAAGTTTTGAGCATTTCTAAGGGAAAACATTCTCTTTTTGAATCAACTCCGAGTACAATTTAGGCTTTCAGCCTTTGTTAAAATGAATGGAAGCACTCATTTCCCAAAGTGCTGTGGTTGCTTGTAATGTAGTCTGAAAAGGTCCCTCTACATTCAACCATTACATATATTTGCAAAGAGCAGCTAATACACACAGGCGTCTCCATTACATTACATAAGCATTCACTTCCAGTAGACACTTAACTGTATGTCAAACCAGGTCCTCACACAGAGATTTTATGCATGAGTTCAAACACAAAGCCATGAAAGCAGTAGGTAGTAGTGTGTTTTGTGGGTCACTGTGCGTTTTACCACAGAAACGAGCATTTAACCCTAAAGCAGCTAAAAAAGTTGACCCACTCCCCCAACTCTGAAAAGAATGTAACAGAAGGACATGCAGTCAATGTGTTTTTTCATTCAATTTCAGCTATGTTGAAAATCAATCCTTTGAAATTCCATAGCTGCATAACTCAGGGTGACTATAAATTACTCTTCAAAACAGGGTGAAAAAGGTCTGCAGGGGCTCCAATTCTAAAATACCAGTTACAATAAAACAACTTGCATTCCATTCAAATGAATTTTCCCAAATTGTTTTCATAGTATTTAAGTATTAAAGTTAAACTATTCCAAATATTAAAAAAATACATATTAATGAACTTTGAGTATTAATAAAGAAAAACTAACTAAACAATGAAAACTATTAAAGACAGAGCCACTTTTGTTACTATTATGTGTGTCTGTTACCAAAATCCTCCAATTTAATGTGTAAATTTAAGATATTTGAAGCTTTTGAACATTGTGAAAAATATTAAGAGAAGTTACAAAAATAATCTGAAAAACAAAATAACATCAGTTAACTCTTGCTTTTGGAGAAAAGCAAATGATGAATATGTACAAACTGGCACAGAATGAGGTAAGTACCTAAGTAAGTAATGAGTCAACTATATGACTGATTTTCTTGACTGTGCAACAAAAAAAAGAACATAATAAATGCTCCTCACAAGTGTTAACAAGCTTTTAAACATCCTTATGAGTGCTCCTTTCAATTAGCTTATTAGTGCTTCAGTTATGACCGTGCCAGTCGGTCACATGACGAGTACTATGAGCTTCTCACTACAAGTCGCACATGAGGCCACACCTCTGTGGAGCTTCACAGGTCAAGCATTCTTCACGAGGGGTCACCAATATTTTTTTGAAACACACACAAACATTTTTTGGTTCAATTAAAACGATGGCAACATGGTTGTAAAAGATCAGCAGTGTATGAGTCAGCCCCTTTTCAAGTCTTACCAGTGAATCATCCACTCCCGGTCCAGAGTCTGCAGCCTTGTAGTAATCGGCATGTTGGTCTAAGTCCCCGTCACTCCCATTTTGCTTCAGAGCTCTATTTGATCCACAGGTTTTACATGTCGCTGCATTGCCCATAATCACAATCCAACGCTGATAGGAAAATCCCTTGCTATACCTGAATTTTAATCCCACATTTAACTTCTTTTAGGCCAACCTTTTGCACGGTCCACCAAAGTTCAACCTCTATAATTTGTCACTTCTCATATTTAGCTGAAACTTCCTTTCCATTTCCTCATGCCTGGCTGAATTAATCGGTTCAGCCGTGCATTAAGTCCTTACTTGCTCCTTGCCTTTGCATTCTTCCACTACCTTCTTTGAACTCTGTTCCTCACCGTTTGACACCTCTGGTTCAGTTTCAGTCTTTGCGCTGCATCTGATCTAAGGCCATGTGCTCTTCCTTTAGCCCTCGTCTTTCTCAGTAGGCCGACAACTGCGGACATAAACAGATAATGCTCACAGTCTCTCCTGCTTGGCTATTTTTACCATTCCAGACCACCAGTCCAACCATGGAGGGATGCATGACAGCTGGGTTGCAGTTAGAATGTGGGCTGCAGGGCCTGCAGCGCTCCCCAAAAAATCAAACAGTCCGAAAGGAGAAAAGCAAGTCCAGAAAATTCTTGTATTGTTGTGTAGAATCTAATGGAAATTGAACTGAACTTCTCTCCTCTCTACATTGATCTATATTCACAGGAGACTATCAGACTGCAAGAAGCGAAAGCTCTCTAACTCCTGTTCCAGAATGCTTTTAAGTCTTAGTCATCAGTATTGTGATAATAGTATATAATGTATACTACACAGCACATAGAAAAGTTGTGTTTGGGTGTGGTAGAATTACTCCGCAAAGAGCTCTGAAGTTATGGTGTTCAGGAGGAATTGGGCACAAACCATCCTTTCTAAAATATTCCATTATCTTATTTCAGATCGAGTATGAGCATATCAGTGTTTTTAACATGTAATCTTCTGCACGTGTCACGGTTTCTGTTGGCCGAACAACAAAACAGAAACAAATTGGAGAGACAGTGAATCAGCTGTAAGCCACAGCATTTGTGTCAATTGATCTGGAGTCAGCCAAGAGTGGATAATAGACTTACTCTGACCAAGTGTCACGGTGTGGAAGCAAAAGTCTAATTAATGTCTCATTTTCTGAGACAAAGAAAGTGCTTTAAGATCCACTTCGGAGTTTTTTGTTAATCCATTGATATATAGAACTGCAGTGATTCCTTTTCAAAAGATTATTACAGCATGACTCATGGTCTTATGATGTGTATTAGAGTACAAACCAATGATAAGGTGGATAGATGTTCACATGCATTATGCACCGATTTGATCATGTTCATATTAAATGCTAGATGTCATGGCGAGAAGCGAGGTGAATGTGCAGAATAAATGATTTTCCAAATGCAGCTTGAATCGGCATGATATATGTCACATGGCACCATGTTACAATAGCAGCTCAGTGTCCTAAACATGCCCCCACTCAGCACAGGCTAAACTTGGCTCGTGCCTTTGCCCGGTCTAAAAGTAATTGTCTAAAATTCCAAAAATGCCCAAATCATTAGCTCGACTTGTACAATGGGACCCCAAATGTCCACATCTGGACAAGCCCTGCAATCCTGTCACAGGGTCTCCTCTAACAACACATCAGAAAAAAAAGTAACACATTTCGTTTTACTGCAAGCATTTTTTGAGGAAATTGCAATTACTTGAAGTATCTCTTTTACCTGACGCTTCCGCTCAGCTTTTTCTCGCTGCCGTATCCTCTTCTCCCTGGCTTTCTGCAGAGCTTTGTATTCTGAATGCAGCTCAAGCTCGCGAGCCTTTTTCAGATGGGCTGCAGCATGGGCCATCACCCCACTCCTTTACCTCTTCTGGATCCAAAAAATTGGTTTAAAACGGTTGCTGGTTCACTTCATCAACTTATATACACCCTGTTTTAATAGCACTAATAGCACCTGAATTGTTTTAGCATTAAAAAAATGTATGTGTGAAAAGTGGTGAATCTTCATGCTGTATAATAGCAAATTTGTATATATATATTTTTAAAGAAGGCATAAAAACTCTCCCCTTCTTCAGATTTGATTTGTTCAATAAAATCAGAAAAGAAGATTTATTCCTCCCGAAAACAGCTTAAAAGAAAAAAACTGATTCCCTCTTGTCCTGCGCATCAGGCGTCCACTTGCCGATAAATTCCAAAGACGAACGTGTTATCTAATGTACACGAGCACAAAGACGGGACACCATGACTGAAAACTGTTGAATGATAAGAATAAAATCCATCCAATCACATACCACAGATCCCATCACACACACACACACAAACACACACACTCACACACACACACACACACACACACACAAATGATCCACACCAGATGTAGGTGGAAACTGTACCCTGTATGAACAGATGTACTGGCAAAATATGCTTGTGTGTGTGTTTGTGTGTGTGTTTGTGTAGCAGTATGAGCATGAACGTGGCCGTTACTTAATATCTGACCTGCAGTCACAGGAAAGTGTGTATTGTGAAAAGCTCTTTAGGGAGGCTGCGTGCCACAGCTGCTTTGACAGCGCTCCACGTGACTGTAAGAGGTGCACATCAGGAGATGAGGTGAGGGAGTGGAGTGATCAAACCGACCAAATAGATATTTAAACATATGCAATAGCCTCAGTCAAATACTTGTCTCGAGAAAGTGTGTTTACCCCAACATAGACTAAAATGAGAAAATAAGAATTACTGTAAAAAAAAAAAAAAAGCAGCAAAAATCCATCTGCTTAATTCAGCATAAAGCTGATCCCATTTGTCCATCTTACATGATCCTTTTTCAGTCTAAATACTAAAAGTCAGCTTTTGCCAGCCTCTGGTTTTTTTCTCCGAGTCTCAGAAATGACCTAGATGGGATAACAACTTTGATATCAGAAAGTGGCACACGACCTTAAAAAAGAGAAAGCTGACTCATTTTTCTTAAACTGATAATGGCCATCTAAAGGATAAGGCATTGGTAAAAGGATAAAAGCTGCAGTTGCCTTCGTAAATACCTTAAAAAGCGGTCAGAGGTCCACCAGTGCTCGGCAAGAGTTTGAAAAAGGCTGCCGTTATAAGCCTGAGAAACAGAGCCCGACTCCCTCTAGCAGGGATTTTTTTGTAAGACTGTATGATATAACCAGCTTGCATAAGCCAATATTTCAATCTAACTATCCAATATGTGAGGCCCTTCAATCACTTTAAATACTTCAGCACGAGCATCGAAGAAGAAAAAAAAAGTCCTTCTCTGTGTTAAAAGTCGAATATACTCGCGATTTTAGCGGATTAATGTACTCAGACACACAAGCAGAATCTACAAAAGATGTTATTCTTCTGTGTCACTCAGACCCTTATTTAAAAGTCCTAAAAGTCTGTCGGTGGCATGGGTGTGATTATAGTCCACGTTCTTTTTTTTAAAACAATTTTTATGGAACAAATAGAAAAGCTGAGTGATAATGGGTACAAGCTGTACTCTTGTGATCCAGCCGTAATAGAGAAAGGCGTCACTTTGTCTGAGAGAGGGCCAGAAAGCACACAGAACTAAGACGTTATAGTGCAGAAGGTGGCTTGGCCTGAATATCAGCTTAACTCTGGCCTTTTACCTGCAACCGGTTGAATATGACCCGACAGGTTGCTTATCTAAGTGTGTGTGTGTGTGTGTGTGTCTGTGTGTCCAACACCAGCCGATAGCTGTCGAGGTATCTCTCAATCAAAGCAGCTAATGTTAGCAGTTTGAAATTTCAGCACCAGAAAACAGGGGCGCTATCTCACACCTCTATTTCTGTTCACGCGTCCTGCCCGGTACGTTCGGTGGTCAACAAACTACAAGAGCATCAGCAACATTTCTTTCTAATAGTAATCATGAATGGGGCAGATCTGCTGAATCACTCCACAGTGCCATCTAAAATGTTTTCCTCCGGTGGTCTGATACCAAGCGCTTCATTTAGGTGCCTGACAATCCTGCCGAGTACAACTCGCTGTTCATTTAGCACTCTCTGCTGGAGACACGGGTAAACATCTCAACCTCCCAGATCTAACTTAATAGACAGTAAATAATGGCTCGATAACGTCACTGGGTAAAAATAGAACATTTATAAGGATCAAGGAACGCAGGATCTTTGCATCATGATGCAGCGAAAAAGCGTCTTCATCCGCTTTAGATGCACGAGGAATAAATTCTGGTTGGCCCAGAAGAGAGAAATCATCTATAACACTTCAAACAAAAGTGTGATGCTGTGCAGAATAACTGTTCTATGGCAAAACTTTTTTTCATCACCCGTTATGTTCTTGAAATGCAAATGAGGGATTAAAATGAAAATCTATTTATTTTTACACTTTTGTCGTGAGTGATATTTCCCCCTTTGACATCCAGGAGTTAGGATATCTTCATATCTGAATATTTCACGACTCGGCATAACGTCACGTTGCCTTTCCGTGTTATATTTGACATATTAAGAAGCGTTAATGATGCATGCCCATCCTTTTAAAGAGCAACAAACCGAATGCTGAAATACACTATACGCTACACTGTAGGCAAATTTACAAATATGAATACAATTATTGTATTTCCTGAAACAATGAGTTTCAGAATTAGCTGAACATCTTTTGTTGAAAATGTTGGCTAAAGATCAAAGTATTGGTAGAGCAGGTAAGCAGATTCACAAACAGTGTACACCAGAGAGCAACCCTATAGCTGCCAAACATGTAAAGTATGGCTTTGCATGTTTGGTCAGTGACCTGTGTTGATCCCTCGTGAAATATTATGAGAATATGGAGAATAGATCATAACAAGTGTGTGTGCGCGCACTGTCCATTTAGGAGTCATGTTACACCAACAGAGAAGCCAATAGAGAAACTGATGCAGGCTCTTGTTTCTGTTGTTTTAGTGTATCTGACATATAAGAAGGGGGTTAATGGTCTGCTTTCCATATTATAGATCCAAAGGCTTTTATTTGGCCCATTAGGTCTCGTTGATAGACAGATATGGGGGATGCAGAGACCATCACACAACTGTGTGAGTGCTTGTGCTACAAACTGCAACCAAACCCTTCTTATTGCACATGTGAATGTATTCATATGGTAAAAGAACTAAAAAACGTCGTATTTGTTTTTTTATACAAAGTGATCCACATAATTTGCGTTACAGAAGTAAGTCTCTTTCACCTCTGCTTCTGTGTGACCTCATTTGCTTACTTTGTTATGGTGGCGGTGTGCGAGATTTGCATGCAGATTTACCGACCTGCTTATGGAGCTACTGTGCTGACAGGTGAACTTCTGGCCACAATTAGAGTCTTAATATTACAGTAAGGATTTTTTTTTTTTTGTAAACAGGTCATTTAGACTTCTTCAGTCACCTTTCAATAGCCTACAGAGAAATGCTTTTTCCCCCATTTTGTTTGCTTGACTTACACACAGGTGTGTGTACTCTGGTACGAATGCTGGTTATTAACATCGTGCTCAACCATTTGGTAGAGCACATCTTTCACTGATGATAGAATATACTACAGGAAATGCACTTAACAAAATTATCTCAATTTTAATTTAGGTTTAAGGATAAGTTATGAGTTAGGTTAAGATATGACTTATGACATTTCTCTATTACATTTTCACACTTTTACCATAAAAAACATATATGATCAAGAACTGGAGTGTACGACCTCTTGTGGTGAAGTGAGCAACTGCAGGTGCGGATGATGAATAGTGCCCATGATAGCTCAGCAAGAAAAACAAAAAAGTTTTTCACCCCTAACCGAATGAAACAACTGGAGGTAGAATGCCTAACTATACCTCTTCCATCCTTACAAGGACATTGTGATAAAACAAAAGGTTTTCACAATGACATCTGCTTTGATGTGTAATCACTCATAAAGCCTTATTTCTGGAATGCCCCTGGTAGGGGTGGCGCTTTACAGGATGCCACTGAGGGCTAGAAATAAATGTTTTACATGTTTCAGGTGAAAGACTATTTCAAAAAGAGCTTAAAAGAGCCAAAAATGTAGTCATTTCTAACAGATCAAAGCAAACCCAAGCTTTTGGAACAGGAGCCTTAAAGCAATAGGATTTTTTTTTTAATGAGCATTTCGATAGAATAAGAAAACCCGTAAATTGTTATTAAAATCCGTTACTGGAGATCAAAACCATACTCGGTTAGGTTTCATGCTTTTTTAAAAGATCCACTGGAACCATCTCAGTGCAATTTCCCAAGCAAAAAAAGTTTTAATTAAAGAAATTAACAAAAAAAGAGTTAAACCAGAGTAAATACCCCCGACTCCCCAATGGTCAGTCATGTTTTGATATGGGGGTGGCATAAAAATCAACCTCTCAACATGAAAAGACAAAAGCATATTGAAAAGGATGAATAATTACGTTTCAGAGAAGCCCACAGTGTGTTTAAGGCCCACAGGCAGTCAAGTACAACGCTCTCAGAAAGGTGAGATATTTTTATACTCTGTGAGCTAAAAATACACACCGTAAAAAACACACAGTAAAAACGCTGAAAATATGCATACATATAATCACACTGCTCATCCATTCTCCCCACTTCCATCCTTTCTAGCTGCTGCAGCAGCCAAAAACTATCTTTAATGAAATACATGGAAATCCTTTGCTGTATCAGTAAAAGAGAAAGTGGATGATATTTTCTCAAATATTATCTTAAATGTCCATGTTAAAACAACTCTAATGTAGCCAGTCTGATTCTGCACAACCCAAAAAAATAAAAACAAGATAACTTCCAGTAGGTGGAGGGAGACTTTTCTAAGTAACATGACGCCAGCTTGTCTGTTCTTCTTGCACTGCTTGCGTAAAAGACTGCAAAAAAATAAAAAG